AAGTGCGACTTACATCAACTGGTTAGTTCGCATGGCTCCATTATCATAGATGACGTATGTTTTGAAACTAAACTGAATGCTAAATACCCTGAACTTTGTATTTCCGCTTCCTCCTACACCACGTTAGCTTTTAGTAAGATATTCCGCTTAATGTTCTACGTAATGAAGTTATAATAATCTGGTATCATTCAGTATCTACTTTCACAGTTTCTCAATTCATACATCCTACCTATTCTCCTTTATTGATTACCTCGCTTAATCTCTCTTAGGCTACTTACGGGAGACTTTGTTACACTGCGAAGGACAATGAAAGCTGTCACTCGGTCGAGTGGGGGTGTCGCTAAACCAACTTGTTAAGACTGTTATAGATAGAATCATGGACCCGTGCGTGAAATTAACGAATATTATCTTGTCGGATCCTGAGCATCCTGTCTATGCACGACTCTTTCCTTGCATCTCATCAGATAGGTGAACTAGAAGAAACTATAGAGGACTTCATGCTTGGATGACTAATTATGAAAACTCTACAATTCCTTATTTGGCATACACTTTATGTGATGAGAAAAGCGTTAGGGGTAGGACATTACCAACTTAGTGAGGAACTCTAAGTAAACGGATCTATTTTTTTTAAATGTTAAATTGTTGTTAATATTTTCAATGGATTTAATTTTATGTTCATATTCTTGTTGAATAAAATTATCTCAATGTAAATGCTCTTTTTTAATTGTTACCTCTGTAATGAGAAAGTTAGATGCAATATTTTATTATATGGTGAAAAATCCATATTTGTAGCAAGGAAATACTGTTTGAAATAGAGCTATTATTATTACTATTATCTGACTGCGTCATCTTTTCCTGTGACCTTTTCTTCATCGCAATAATGTGACATTGTTTTGACTGGACACTAGTCAGTAACTAGTGTGATGCGGCTGGTTCTTTCCTTGGTGCAGACTGAATTCGATCAGTCAGTTTTGTAATGTGGCCATCATTCTAGGTAGCTCGCCATCCCGGTGGCCATTAATTTGATGATATTAGATGGTCGAAAGCAATCGGTCACAGGAAGCCTTGCCTAACCTAGATTTCTTGCTTGTTGGCATTCGAAAGCAAGGCGAATCTGCAACCTTGAAGGAGCTCATGTTTGTCTCTGGTTTCGATGATTTGAGTTGTACTCACCACATTGTTATTCAACTTATAAATCACTCACTATCTTATCCACTTTATGTCTTTCATATTTTTTTTTGTTTAAAGTTGAACCTTCTATGTATAAGTGTAGTTTTCTCAGCACTTGTTTATGAAGTTTTGAGTCCCCTGTCAACTGACATAATGTCATATTTGCAAGTATGTTAAAAATATGTTCTGTACACAAACTAATTATTTTTTCTCTAGACTGTACTCAGATGATGAGAAGCCGACGAAATAAATGATGATAGCATCTTAGTGTGCACAAATCATTGTTTTTTCCTTAATTCAAATTGACTCTAATCGGATTCAAAGACTCCTGTCAATTGTTGTTCTCTCATTCAATCATTTACAAGAACAATTAAACTAATAAAACAAATTAAGAATTTTGCCGAAAATGATGACGTTATTTCATTAGCTTAGGTGACTGCACTCTACAACAGCAAAGATACAATGAGGAGAACAAGGATGAAACTTGCGTTACGGAAAAAGTCCAGAATAGCAAACGCCTAAATTATGCCGAAAGAGGGGACATAAACAGGACACTGTCAAACATTTTCGTATACAGCGGTGCCGATGACATTTGACACAAGTGCTGACACATAAACACATACGACTTTCTTCTGATTCGGCGGCTTTAATCACCTACGTTAGGCTATCACCATAAATAAGCTGACTAGTGATTGGATCTATGTAGGGAGTTATCTGGAGTTCTAGTGAGACGTTGTGACCAGCGGGGCCGCCAAGCCAGGTAAGAAAACAGTTACTAGCTAATGACACTGGTTATTGGTAGCGCTGTATATCACAAATCGGTAGAGGTTGGTATTCATTGGAACGGGTCCCAGGAGCTGGGCAGTCTACGTGATCTCCTTATAACCGGAAGATTCTGGGTTTGAAACCCCAGCAGATGCGTATTGATGAAGAGCCCCAAACAAGTATGAAGCAGCTGTCTAGTTCTCCAGTGATTCTCTAAATGATGCTCAGCTTGTGGTCAAACCTTGTAACAGCCAAACAGCTGCAAACTAACAACCAAAGCAGAACACGTAAGATATGAGATTCAAAAAACTGCAATTACGAGGTGGTTTATAGTACAAATCTTATACGAGTATATAAAACATTTGCAGAAGCTTTGAGTTATACATAGTTAAGTGGGGGGGGGGCACAATAGTATCTTGACTACTATGTTTAGCTTTCATCCAAGTTAGCTTTTACGCTAAATATTTATTTTCCACTTTTAGGATAATTCTCAATTACTCATCATTTTTACAGATGTTATTTCAACGACTAAACACAAATTTGAATCTCTAAGAAAATTCAAGTCTTTCTCAGTGCAGCGAATGAATCTTTCTAATGAATATCAATAGATGTGAGAAATGATTCAGTCTTCATCTTCAAGTATTGGTTTTTGTAGGGATTTTATTTGATTGGTTGGAGGATTTCATTTTGAGCTGACATCAATGAGAAAACCTTTGAAAAGCCTTGGAGTACTGGACCGGATTCGAACTCTAGTGGCCACGTACTGCATAAAAGTCCCAAACTAGTGTGGCGAGACAGCTATCCAGTATTCCCCGGTTGGTTTTCCAATGGTTCTCTAACTGATGTCAGCTCATAATGCAATCCTTCAACCGATCAATCTTCATCTCTTGTAGATTACCTTCTGATAGATTACAGAAATAAGCACTCGCTATCAGACGTTTAACATCCGATAAACATCGGATTTGTGTATTCAGTTATCAGTCTTTCTACGCTCCTAGTAACTCAATTTCTTGATATTTTCCTTTTAAACCTCTTCTCATTTTGATGTGTGATTATTTATTTATTTATTAATTTAATAATTCCCATCGTAACATTAAGAACACAGTATTCAGCGAAGAGACTCTTTTCAACGAATTTATTATCAAGCTGTACAATCGTATATATATGGTTTTATTTTAAGAAATTATATCCGGTGAGGGAATTAGATCAAAGGTGTGAATACATGAAATAATAATAGTAGTAGTATGGAATGCAATTAAAATTAGTGACTATAATCATAGTTTAATGTCAAGTGGCAAAACAATCAATGTCATATATAGAATAATACATGAGGTGTATAGATTTTGGAAAGGGGTACATAATTATAGGATAAGTAGACGAATATGAAATGTTACGTAATATGGTGTGAAATTTGATAAGATAGAATTCGATATTGTAAAAATAAAAAATTTAAAAACTAATAATTTTGGGTTTAAAATGACAAGTGGATCAAGTGGAAAAGATTCAGAGTGAGAATAGTAATAATAATAATAATGATAATAATAATAATAATCGTAGTTATAAGGGAGACGTACATAGAATAACTAAATAAACAAAATAAATAAATGTCTATCTCTTTACGGCCAAGGCAGCGGTAGGGATTGTACACATTTCTTTTGTACACAAAGGTCTGGCTTAAAGTCATGAATTGCCAAGGCCTCATCTGTCTTTAGAAGTCTGTAATGAAGAAAACGCGGGAAGTTAGCACGGATTCGGCAGATGATTTTAAAATCATGGTCAAGGTTAACAGAGTGACAGAAGTCGATCAGGTGTTCCAGAATAGAGCTTCGTACACACTTCCTTTCTCCCTTGTAAAACCATGATTATAATCACAAATATTTTAATTGTATTTCATACTACTATTATTATTTTCTCGTGTATTCACACCTTTGACCTAATTCATTTTTTGTTTCTGTCTGTGTTGTTTGAGTTTAACTCACTTCATTTATTATTGTTAGGATGAACAAGTTTCTTTGTCAACCATAGAGTAATGGTTTATACATGCACTGATATGATAACTTTATCAAACAGCTTTTGATTCGTTTATTTATGGCTTAATTTTCTGAGGGATTGTAAATATGCTATATCATATATCTTGTCTAATAAAACGTTGTTACAGCTGTTACTGTTATTGTTGATGCTGCTATTGTTGTTGGCTGTCGTCGTTTTTTCCCAGTTTGACGTTTGCGCCTGTCTCGGTGTGAGAGATACTTTCAAGTGATCAATTTATTATTGTCATGTCTAGAGGCGCATTCTAGTCGAGACATCACAACCTAGTAACACTGCATCATAACAATTACGCGCAGCTTAATAGCTGCTTGTCACCAATTTATCCACTTGTTGTCTTCACTACATAACTCCTCTTTGAATATATCCACACTTTTTAAAGGAAAATAACTTGTATATCAGTTGTGTAAGTGTAATACTTCTGAGTATTTGTTCAGTTATTGTGGAAATCGCTTATTTAACTACGTGACACAACGTCACCTTTAAAAGTGCGTCAAAAAATGTCTCTTTACATATGCATTTCACAATATTTGTTTAAGCCATTTGAGGCTGAAGAGAAAATGATGAAATAAGTGATGGCATCGTCTTATTCTACACTCAAGGATATATTTTCTGTTTTATTCATATTTATTTTCATTCTGTTTCGTAACTTCTTGGAGTAGAACAGGGAGAATATTTCATCATTCTGCCAGCTTTATGTTCATCGTTCATCAAATTAGCATTGCCCGCATGTATATATATATATATATATCGATCAGTTTAATCAAAATCACACGGATTAATCGATTTCTCTTTCTCATTTATTCTTATGATTACACCCAATGTCAGAGGATTATTTAAGCTAATACATTGGTATTAAATGATATATATTATCAATTAAGATAATGGCATCTAGTTATACTAGATGCGGAATTCTACAGAATGCTGTTACAAAAGTCATCAACAGCATTATCAACGCCTATGATGAATGATGATGCTAACAGACAAATTATTTCAACATTCATCCCATACGATCATCCCGATACAAAATGGTTAATAAATACATTCGAAATAACTCTGTGAAACGTCTAACTGTTATGATCAAAGAGAGACCATGTATATTTAAGCATATCTATCAAATTTATGATTGTCCAGCTGAAATACTGTCGGATCCAAGTGATTCTAAATATGTATTTAGTAGTACGGCTATTTTATACTTTCGACCATTATGTTTAGCTATTTATATGCGTTGTAAAAGTGCTGTAGAAATGTTATTATCCTCTGGATTATGTAATCCATGTGAGTATAGTTATGCCTCAGAAGTTTATGTTCAAACACAAGGTAACAATGCAGGTGATTTGTTGGAAGTATTACCATCATGTGTTGCAATACGTCGTCAATATTTAGACATCTTGCCGATATTATTTAAACCTACGCCTGACTTAAACTTTCCCGTCTTTACACCGCGTACTTCATTCACTATACGTTATATTAGTAAGCGGGTGCACAAGTCTATAACATATGACGATATATTCCATTACTGTATAGAATTGGCTCAAGTCGATAGATTCATTAATGTAGCACGTACTCTATATACACTGATATATAAATGTTCAGGCTTCTATAAACCTGGTTATTTAGATGAACATAAAAAACTGCAGAATTACTCTTTATTTCGTCGATTAATCTATACCGCTTTGTATATTGACAGTGATAATCGAATCAGTTATCCACTGATACAGTGTATGGAGTTACTAGTGAAAGCTTCACACTTTCAAATTTCAACTAATCATAAACTGCCTATTACAAAGGCTGCAAATTATACTACTAACAATAATACTGCTGCTAATGTAAGCAATATTGATATTGTTGACCAAATACCTACCAAATTAAATTTCAGTAGTATACTAACAAAATGGAGTGGATTTAGTGAAAAGATGAGAGATCGCTATATAAGTATTGCACTTCTGTTCAGCTTCTATGCATATTTATTACTACGTGGAAAAGTTAATTTGGTTAATTATGTAATCAATTTATTATTTCATGTGTTGTACGACACACAGTCGTTGAATAGTTTATTAAGCTTGACACCAGATGACTTAGCTCAGTGTTTAGACTTTATCTTGAGTCAAGATGTACTGGGTAATGAATTATGCGGTGAGAAGAAGATCTTCATCATACCAGCACTGTCAGCAGTCACAACAATTGGGATGGTTAAATCAGTAGCTACATCATCAAAGTTTAGTTCTCTATTTGCTGAAATGCATGGACGAGTCGATTATGGGGATTGTGATAATGACCAAGAACGTCGACAATACCACAGGCAGTATTACTGTTATCAATACCAACAACAACAGCAACAACAAAAGCCAGGTCATCAAACCAGTAGACAGATAGCCGATGAAAGACGAATTTACTTGCCTATAAAATTCTCAGAATCACCTCATCTGTTAACATATATTATAGACAAGTTACAAACATGCATTCGTCTAGAACAGATTAGATATATACATTTATTATGCTTACGGAAAGTGACCAGTCATTATGTTATGAATGATAATGACATGCATTGTATACTAAATGAAGGTGATGAAGATAGGAATACATATGACGAGGAATTTCCCGTGAAAAGACACCTGATTCTCTCACGTTTACAGAATATATCTACGCATAAAACAGGAAGTAGTCATTTGGAGAATGTAACCTGTGGCGTTCAGAGATCTTTGTGTCAAAGACTATGTCATCCTGTGTGTGTAAACGTGTGTAAACATAGTATGCCTGGAGACGTGTTAAGATTAAATCCTGATCCTGTTAATACCGCGCGTACTACTACTAATGTTAGCTATAGGTCAACAAACGGCGACCATCAACACCATCAGCAATTATATTCACAGACACAAAGATTGAAAATGTCTAAAATTCAGCCTGTAGACAGTAATGAAGCAGAGAAACGTGACGGGACTACTTTTACAAATGTACCTTACAGTGGAGATGATGCCATTGATGATGATGATGATGATAGTAATGATGAAGTTACCAATGCTGAATACAGTATGGAGAATAAATCGATACAAATCCGGTCAAGTACACTTTTAACTGGACTAACAACTTCCGGTGATCCAGAAATGAGTAATACTCATAATGCTTTAGAAAGTATGGCATCTAATTTGAACTACAAAGTGTATGATGATAGTAATGACAATAAAATTAATGATGATAGTGACGACAACAACAGGGCAGGACGTATTACACCGACTATAAATTATCAAGCGATAACAAATAATGGTGATGCATTAGAGGCAGAAGATATTTCCGAAAGAAATCTTGCAATAACATCAATTCTGACGACGAGTACAACTGAGACAAGCTATTCAAGAGTTAATAGAATAATTACAAATTGTGATAAAATATACAATGAACGAAATAATCGACGAAAAGATGAGATAACAGCAGATGAACAGAATTTATTAAAAGATATTGGAGATTTGAATTTTGAACTGCCAACAAAACAAAATTTATCACTGAAAGATGTTGACCGACTAATTGAGTGTATAGCTACCACAGTTCTAGCTAATGAACCAGATGTGAAAAATGGTATCATCGAAGATATATTCTTTGAATACTTAGAGGAAGAGATGAATAGATCAGAAAGTTTATCAAAAGGGAATGCATATGAACCACGACACAAAGACGACCGATGGACTAAGTGTGCATCTTTACTTGAAACTAGAATGAAACATTCATCAGAAGACCCGAAAATAGCAGACAAAGCAGCACGAGCAACAGCAGAAGAAGAAGAAGAAGACGATGGAAATCCCTCTGTAAAGTACACTGACACTGAAACTATGGACACAATCACAAATACCACTCATACCATATTTAATGCAGATGACATGAATTTTTCAAATGAACTTAACCCGAAGCAATCAGTTATTAACAATATTGGAGATAAATCTATTCAACAAGTGTATCTTGATTCAACGGATATCACACATACAGAAAGTCATCAGAGTATTCGGAGCAATGATGAACGAAATGTCTACCATCAGAGTGTTACTGCAAATTGTCGAAGGATTTTATTATCTTGTACAAAGCCAGTCGAACAGATAACGAACATATTTAGGCATATGTCTATAAGTAAGCGGGGTTAAACAGACCGGTTGTGTAATAATGATAATAATAACAATAATCCAAATCCAGTATCATAAAACATCATATAACAACGGTCATAATATAAGCATTTTTAGAGCAAATATGTTTTTCTAAAATTAGTCAACACAACTGTACTTGTAGTTTGAAGATATTCGGTAATAAGAAGTTATCTCTTAATTCATAACTGTAAACAGACTAACAAATACAAATATAACGAATATGTGTACTTACTCTGTACAAGACGCCAGTCAACAAAAGCTCCGTTGAATGCCATTGAACATTAAATGGAGTATTGTTTATATATGAAATTTATTTGTTATTTCGTTAATTTTACTGATATTAAATGTAAATAAATCACAATGAATGAGAGACTAGTGTACGGTAAGCATCTGGTTGTGTTATTTCTGACTGAAATGCCACCTATATGCTAGTCGTTCTTATTCATTTCTTGCATTTCCAGTGGGATATAGGGTTTCAACAGTACCTCTTTATTTCATTCGGTTCTCAACAATCAGTTTCAGCTGACTGAATGAACTCCCCTACATAATCCTTTCTATGTTATCATGGGACGCTCAACCCTTCGTCTGCTTGGTGTGTGATGTTACTCAATGGTCTACTCCGTGTGAGTCCAATTCATCTCCATTCCCTACTGTATATTAATGGGGCTTTTAGGTTCTTGGTGGGTTCGTTGTTGGAGTTCTTTATGTTTATCCTTCCCAGTTGAACATTCAGTCTTCATTATGGAGTGAAGGCGGCTGCTGGCAGAAGTCCGAAGTCTGTTGGAAATGTTTCCGCTGACGCGTGCAGGAAAGTCTCTGAAGCACACAGCAAAACTTACTTGGCATTCATTTTCGAAAATTCTCATTTAATTCTTTATGTCACGTTTAGCAGATTTCCATATGGATTCAATAGCACTGAAGGTGTGTCTTGCCTTTCCTATCCTGGCCTTCATATCTTCATCTCTGTCACCTGTATTTGAAACGGCACTGCCTAAATAAGTGAGAGAAGCTGCTTTTTCAGATTTCTCCTGTTGATAGTGTGATTGGTACCTGTCGTTCTGATTGGCTAGGTATTTTCATCAACTCTGTATTCTCTATGTCCATTTGAAGTCCTTACTTCTCTGCCTACCTCTTCTGCTAACTTGTTGACTTTCGTCTGCAGATCCTTAAGTTTGTAGCAGATGGTTGGAGGCAGTTCGCAGAAAGCCTTGGATCTGGGTTTCGTGATAGTTGGCACTCACTTGTCAGCAAGTCGTATCTGCGACCTTGAAGGAACTCATGTCCCTTCTGAGATTCGAATCAAAGTCACTCAGTGCTGCAGTCATAGATGTTGGCACTGAGCTATCCATACTGGCGACTCACCTTCTGTTGCAGATACGCCTTCCTGATGAGTACCAACCAGCACGAAACCTAGGTCCAGTGCTTCCTGTCGATTGCCTCCAATCATCGAATATCCAAAATTCACAGAGCACCGTGATGGCGGGCCACCTATTGACATGGTGGTCACATTGCAAAGTGGACTGGTTGAATTCAGTCTGCGTCAAAGACAGGACTAGACACACATATACATTACACTGGTTACTGACTAGTGTCCAATTAAAAGAAAAATCTTCAAGTTTGTATTACATCAGACGTAAATCATCCACGAAGTTTAGATCTCCTAGAGTCCAACTGGTGATCCAAGTTATACCTGTCTTGTGGCAACCCATGATCTGCCTCACAATCCATTCACCACAATCACGAATATCATTGGCCATAGTAGGCATATTTATCTTGCTTCTGTCTTTAATTCAAAGGTTTACCTGAGTTTTCCTTAGTCAGTCACTTAGCACACGAGTATATATTTTATTTAAATAGATGATAAGTTTATTTACTCAGTATCATCAAGTTGATAAAGTCTTTATTTTCTGTAGAAGTTATATAAGAAAGTATTTCAGCTAATTAGATGTTACATGCGGAGGCTTCTTTCTGTGAAGATGTGATTCTCAGTAATTCTTTTAGTTTTTATGATATACGATGTAATACTTTGCATATGGGCTAAACTGTTGCCATAATTAACCAGGAAAACAGTAGATACAAACGTCATAGTGACTGTTTGTACGGTTGATACATAACACAGATCAGGATTCTTAGTCTGTTCACTCGTACACTCCAGGGAAGGATTAAATCTAGAACTGTTAACCTTCTCAGCATATAAATCAATACGTTAATTATGATCATGATCTCTAAAGGTGTAGCAAATGTGTACCAGTATTGAAAGAGGCATCCAATGCCTACTAGTTTCCCTAGTTAACATTGAGGTGTAAAATAAACTACTCCGAAACGATAGTGCTATCATCATTCTGATAAGTGGAGCAAAAAAGAGGTAAGTTCAGTTTCACATTGTATTCTTTATGAAAACAAATTTATCATTCAAAAGTATGTTACTTATAATGAAATAAAGTACACAACACACGTCTAATTACAGTGTTAATGAACTCGAATTTAACTTTTTCACATTTGCGTTCAGTTTTATTACTGTATAAGTGAAGTGGAACAAGCGTACTGCTGTTGCTGCTGACTGATTAATGAAGGGCATGAAACCGGTCAGTTCTGGTCAGTTCTTGTGAAGGTTAAGTATGTAAAGGAATAAATAGAAAAATCTTATCTAATTTTGAAGAAAATTATAAATCATGAAGTGAAATCACAATAAAGCTGATAGCAGCGGTGGTACCAATAATAATAACAGCAATAGTGGTGGTAATAGGAATCATAGAAAGATTCACTGGCAAATATTTCAAGAGCTGATTTACAATTAGATTGGTTGAGAAGGCGGGGGAAACCGAAGAAGCCGATGAAGTGACAGGAGAGATAGAATGTGTTGTGCATGATCGTTGTTGTTGTTGATCGTGTTGTTCGCTTATTGGAATATTCTTTTGTATAATCTTCTTATTGGGATTACGATCACACCTTGAATTGACGCTAGTTGGCAATGATAAATTGCGTCTTGAGTAGGCGATAAGACTAGAATGATTCGCCAGCAACGTTTCTTGAAGTAGACGGTTGGCATACGGATCAGCTGTATGAATGTTTGATAAGACAAAAAAAAAGAGTAAAGTGTAGAATTTTGTGTTCCTGACGGATAAGAAAGGAAGGATGAGAATAAATTTCATGTTAACTCATCCGTGTCTAATGAGTTTTGGCGAGATAGTCGTACTGGAATGAAGATACTTCACTAAGCTAAATAATGACCAGTTAAAATGAAGTCTTTCCCGTGCACAAAGTTTCTGTCAGACGAAAAGTGTAGTCATGAAGATAAATGATACAGAGAGATAGTGGAATTTCTTTCACAATATCGATCCGTCACTAGAAATTAACCAATGTCAGTCTTTAATCCTGGTCGAGAGAAGAGAAGATTGTTGTCTAAAAGTTGAAGATGCTGATATCTTCTTAGATATATTCTTCCAGACCACTGACTATCAAGGCTGCTGTCTTAGACTAGACTACAAGGCGTCGATTGATCTTATCGAAGTGTGACTTAACGATGGGAAACCGATTTTTCGTTGTCCTGCCCTAGGAGCTGATTGAATTTTATCGAGCTGCCTTAAATGTAATGATTTCACTGGGCAAATCATTCGAAAAAGCAAAGGTACGTATACATATATTGATTAGTTAATTATTTAAATCACGTTAAATATATGAGAATGAGTAAAAGAAGCGACAATTCGAGGATGACTGTATTCATCGCACTACATATTATTGGCTGGTTGATGTGAGTTTTCGGCTACCATTCATATCAACTAATAATGCCTGTCAGCTAATCTGAAGTGATCTTAACAGCGAATGGCCAAGTTTCTCATTTGCAGTCAAGCTCATCAGCGATGTATCAGGTCTGAATCGGCTCAAACAATCAAATCAGTTGAAATTACCCGAATTCTCACTAGCTACTTAGGCAGACTGGTTATAAATTGGATCCAAGTGGAAATTAACAAATTAAGTTTTGGTCGCGTGTCAGTCGAATTCTTCTCGAATAATTTTAAAGTGTTTACCATTCTACGGAAAATGGTGCAATATCACATTTTATGTTGAACTCAGTGCTACTTTAACTTCTTCGATACCATCCTGTTTTTCATAATACTTATCAGTGAGCAAAGAATATTCTTTTCGACAGCTTTTTTTAGTTCTATAGTTATCTCTCCATATTAGTCGGGGAAATTTGTTACTAACAACACCAGTGCTCTTAAATAACGTTGAATCATCAAAACAAACGAAAAATCGGAGAGGCATGTGAATATGTAGATATGCCTCTGAAGCCCTGTGTCTCACTCAGAACCTAGTGGAATAATAATAGTAATGGCACTAAACTGACCGTTAGATTTCAAAGTTAACAATAAGTGAGCATTCAAGTTATTGCGAAACAAATTTACTGATCTTTCCTTTCCACCTACGTGAATGCGTGGAACGCAGACTTTCAATTATGACTTGAATTTCCTCAAGTAGGTGTGTGTTTAGAGGAATACTGTTACGTCTAGCTGTTTTAAAGGTGTTTCATCGGCTTTTATTTACACGGTTGGAATATCTATTTGTGATGTTCGCCATGCTATACACAAAATCCCCTCCCGATAGCTTTAATTCTCACTCGCAAATGATCACGAATGACAGTGATTAGTGCTCAGACTGAATTTTATTCCGTCTGGTTATATTTTATTTTTATTTTTGGTTACAGCTTGACTCCACACCGTATTTTTGGTACAAGTGTGGAATTTTCAGCGTGGATATCGGTAGCCCAAAATTCGCAGGCCGACCATAGGTATCAGGTGTGCGTCGGCGTGGGCGCGAACCCCGGACCATGTGCATGGTCGGCGAGAGTCTTAACCACTGTGCCACCGACGCACATAAACACTGTATGAGCAAATATCAATACCTGAATAGGAGCAAAAAATATCCGTCAATTTGTAGGTGAACAACCAAAGCTAAATTAGGAGAATAAAGGTTTTTTCGCACATGTGTAAAGGTATATCTCCACTTTTTCAAGAATTAGAAAACATGTAAACTCCGTATTAATTTTCGTATTTATTATGGTGAATAGGATGACGGTAACAGTTCAGCAGTTGACTATGCATAATCACATAGAATCGATATATCGGATAGACAAACTAATGAATAAAATTACAGCTAAACACAATATCTTACTCTTGAAACAATAGAAAACTTACATAACAATCCAGTGAATTCACCATTCACTATTCCAAGTCTCATATTCCTTGAATGACATACACTGGGTTGAGCTGGAATTTAAGCGGAAAAAAAATTAAAGGAAGGCAAGTAATTCATTTCTAAAATAGATCCTAACCAGATGTTTCACTTAATTAAAGATGCCTAGGCGAAATTTCAAAATATTGATTGAATGACTGATTGCAGTTGAACTTTGCACAGAAGTAGTATAGCAGTTCAAGTTGTCACACTGTATGTACCACACATGATAGAGAATAGAAATTCAAGAGAACCACAGTGAACAGAAATGTGAGGGAAAAACAACAGGGTTTTTATGGTTAGTTCAGATTACAGACAGTCAAGGTATCTGTGTCAGTAAGAACGATTTTGAGCCATGTCATACTAGAAAAGATTGATTAATGAATAGATAATACTATTCTCGATAACTTCTTCATCACGCTCTACAGTTATGTATCCGTAATAATCAAAGGATTATTCTTATTGATGATATTAAAGTCTTTTAAAATGACATCAAATCACTGACATGAAAATTTCAAGAGTTATACGCGAATATATTGTTGTTATTTATTGCATTGAATTTTTGATTTTCCCGTCGATTGATTGGACCGAAGTGCTTGGTCTCAGGTTGATATGTCGACTTCTTGTGCAGATGTTTCTACGATGTCTGGGCATTTAATTAGTATACAATTAGTGAATGGTGGCTAGCAGTGGAATCCAGGATGCGCGTTTCGTCCTATTTAGGACTCGTCATCTGGATGTACCTGCATTTCTCAAATAGGACGAAGTGCGCATCCTGGATTCCACTGCTAGCCACCGTCCACCAATTGTATACAATAAATTGAACACTTTTTTTGTCAAGTGAATGATCTCGAATAACAATGAATATATAGTAATGAATGCTCATCACTAATTTTCATATTAAATTCTATTAGATGCAATTATATTGTAATGCACGCTGAAAATTCCATACCTGTACCACAAATACCGTTTGGAATAAAGCTGTTATTATTATTATTCATACTGATTACAAACTCCTTATGGATTAACGATGATATCGAGAAATTGGGCAGAAGGTTATGTGCATGCGTGTGTGTGTGTCAGTGTGTAAGTTAGTTATTAAGTTTAAATAAGACAAATGATTTGTTTATGCAAATGTCATTAAAAAGGTTAGGGGAATTTATACATACAGGATAGGGGTCATACCTAAAAATTGCGAAATGATACGGATTTTATGAATTTATAGATTCCACACCAGGTCAGGATAGAAACAGTGGCTGGACCTGTTTCTTTTGCATACAGAGCATAGGCTGTTTCAAACCAATTGCACTAGCTTCTAATGTTTGGATTGTTTAGTGCCTAGAGGCTTTAAGCAATTTATTGGGTACAAGACAGATGATAGAAAATGATTCTTCAATGCTACCTTTATCGCCTGTCTGAACGAGATGGTTTTAACTCAAACTGATAGGTGTTTCCGAGAGCGACATTATCTTAAAAATTCTGGTGTTGTCATTAACAATGACTCTTCAACTATTATGAATACATAACTCGGCTGAAAGCTTCGAAAGACTTCTAAATCGATCCCCACCTACGACGCGCCCAATAACATTAACAGCGGAAACAGAACTACCAGTGGACATCAACCCACCGAAGAAAACAGAACTCGTGAAGTCAATATAGATGCTAAAACCTGGAAAAGCAGCAGGACCAGACTGAATCTCAGCAGAAGAACTGGAAGTAGACCCAGAGACATCAGCGGAATTGATGACACCACTACTGGAGAAGGTGTGGAAAGAGGGCAAGGTACCTGAGGATTGGAAGAAAGGATACTTATTCAAACTACCAAAGAAAGGAGACTTAAGTCAATGAAAAAACTGGTGCGGAATTATGCTCCTGTACATCCCAAGAGAAATACTGAGCCGCATCATCCCGAACAGAATCAAACAAGCCCTAGCTGAAAAACTTCGACCGGAACAGGCCGGATTCAGGAGAAACAAATCATGCATCGATCAAATTGCCACACTACGGATCATTATTGAACAAAGCTTGGAATGGCGATCACCTCTCTATCGCAATTTCATCGACTTCGAAAAGGTCTTCGACAGCGTCGATCGAATGGTGATTTGGAAACTACTTCGCTACTACGGGATGCCGCCAACAATTAAACACCTCATCCAACAGTTGTATGACAATGCTGCATGCCAAGTAATCCACAACGGGAAACTCATGGAATCCTTCAAAGCGAAAACGGGAATGAGACAAGGCTGGCTGCCTACTGTCTCCAATGATTTTCCTGATTGCGGTAGACTGGATAATGCGACAAACAGACAGCGGACAACGAGGAGACAGGCATAAAATGGACTCAAACAAAAAAACTTGGAGGATCTGGACTTAGACGATGATATATATCTGATTTCCCACAAACTGGATAATATGCAAGTGTCATGGATAACGAATCATTTAGTGTTTTCTAATTTAAATAACATAGATGACCGTGAAACATATTGCGAAGAAAAGTTTTTTAGTGTTCTGTAATATGATCCTCTCACACTGTTTGGATTAAGGTACAAATTTCTATCTAATGTTCCAAAATAGGTTCTTTCTGTGTAGATCGTAGATCAGATTTACTTAGAAAGAATGATTATTCACAGATGACTATTTCTTAATTAAAATATAATTTCATGGGAAGAAAAATTGATGAATTGGTTGATTCGGTTTCAAATTATGGAGAAAACTTATCAGAACACCAAAAGAAAAAAAACAAGAAGTTGGGCAACTGAGCATTATTTTTCTTGGATCTGATTCTCACCTGCTCTACAATTTCAGTATCATGCATTTTCACCTGGTAACTGTGAACAATTTTACTGAAAGGCATCAGGGTTAACTAGGGATTACAGTGTTTTAGACAAGCGAAACGAAGGTGACTGTCAATCACTAGATGGTACTGAGACTAAAACAACTAACACGTCTAACGTACACCTGCATAATACAGAGAAATACATTCTTCAGGAAAAGGGGATCCAGGGAGGCATGAAAACAGAATGAAGAGAGCTTAGGTTGATAATCCTAAGAATAAAGCTTTGAAAGAGAATGGAAGACAAGCACTTCTATTCAAGTTATCCTGTGCGACCGAGCATGCAAATCATTTGATGTTTGCTGTTACCAAACAGCTCCAAGAACCCTATTCTACATCGTTGCAGAAGCAATAGGAGATTAGATAGAAGTGGACTAGTTCAGTACCTTGTTTACACTAATCACAGAATCACAACTATAGGAGTGTTAAAGGTAATCAACAGGGGGTAAAGCAACCCTATGAAAATGGTCTATCCGCTACATCTCATTACTTCAGTAACTCGTGATATTTTTTGTGGAGAAGTCATATTCATGTGTTAAAAAGAAACTTTTTCAAACTTTTTATCTACCATAATGTTTGTTATTACATGTTGGCTTTTTAAACTAACATCTACCTCTCTATCTTCATTCTTTATCTTCAATGTTAACAAAGTAAATTATCTAAGCAATGAGTGTTATCACTAACCTAGAACAGGCATAAAAGTGTTGTAACGCAACGAGCAATAGACAGATGTTCCATCCTAATTTAGTTCACTTCAGCAGTGAGCACGCCCACAACTCTAGGTATTGAAAACACACCCATTAGGTTATTTAATGATCAACTGAGTCAGAATCGAACAGTAAATGGATTCTAACTTCTGTCTATTCGTGAAATAACCCTAGCGTCATCCAATATCATTGATGAATGTCTGTCTTCATAGACTGCATGACCTATCCTACCATTAACATCTCTACTGTTGTCTTATACTGGAACTAGTCAATACATTTTTAGAATATAGGTTTCGCTGGGATTTGGACAAATTTTAGCGTAGAATTCATCACTGGATCAAACCTCAGCTAGAGAGTCATTAAAAAGCCAGGGATCATTGGACAGTTGTTTCCTCCCTGTTTGATCCCGGGTTCACCCTCTAATGTGGCGCTGTTAACACGAGCTAGAATATAACTAAACAGCTATCCATTGCTATCCGGTTTCCAATGATTCTCGCGTTGATATTGGTTCAGGATGAATTGTTCACTGAAATTAATCAATAATTGTTTGTAAATTCATGGAATTGACAAAGATTAAAAATGTTTATAAAGCCTTAAGTGTATCCTCTTGCTAATAACACGTCGTCGCCTTATTTATATAAATAGGAAGTAAGACACTCGATTAACTTTCTGCCTATATTGGAAGTTGAAATAGATATTTGTACTAACAATAGATCATTTTTCTATAAGCAAAGATGAGATAAACGATTGTAGAGGAATAATTAACGCATATGCGTGTACACACGCGTATGCTGAGACAACTCTTCACAGAACCACAATGGTTTGATGCCTTTACCTAGACGAAATAAACAGTAATTATCATTTAAATCTCTTGAAGAAACAAGATGAATTCTAAAAGTATTAAAGTGAAAATAATGATGCAAGTATAATCCTCGATTATTATTATTATTACTATGTACACAGTTATTATCGATGGGTTTTATGAGATGTTTAAGGAGACTTTGTAAAAGAATAAAAACTTTGATAAATAATTGAGAATAGTGTAGAAACACGAGAATATAAACTCATCAAGAGATCAACGAAAGTTAGATGGTTAGACATGCTTTTTAAAAAAAGGAATCTTAGTTATATTAGATTCTATATCTGATAAGATATGCATATAAGCATATCTATTTATGAGCTTAAAGTAGGATTAACTCTTGATGAAAGATGATGAGGTAAAAAAAAAAAGAAACTGAAATACACAAAAACAAGAATGACGAAAGCATTGACATTAACTGAGAATATTACAACGGAATTTCGGTGAAGAAATTGATAGGAATATAGAAGAAAAGGTAGGAGATAACAGAGATATTCTGTGTACTGTTAATTTACCCACACAGAAAGAGAGAGAGAGACAAAGATCTGACTAGGTTTATTCAAAAAGAAAAATTCAACGAGGATGCAGAGGCAAGGAGAAGAGTAAAAAAAGAACGACGAATATAAAAACAGATGT